CCTCTGTTCCAAGCGTGTGGAAAGATATGACCAGAAATGAGACCGGTAGCACGGTCACTTGCAAAATATGCGAGTCCATTCTCAAATAGAATAAAAGCTAAATAAAAAACAGCTAGATGCTACAATTTGTTTTTAGACTGACTATTCTATGAAACACAAGATGAGACCCTGCGGCTTGTTTGAGAAAAACAAGTGGAGCACTCCCACAAATTATAACAACGTTAGCGTGATGGTGAGTTGTATTTTTATAATGATTTGTTTTTCAATTGTTCCAAAGTTAGGGCACTGCTGTACTGTGGTGAAAAAAAACAGACAGCGTCATATGTTTATTGACTTCGGCTCAGCTCTCATGACATGATTGTCAACTCTCCAAAAAAAAAAAAAAATACATCTTTAGTTGTTCAACCCCAACACAATCAAGTTTCTGTAATCGTGGCCTCTTTTTTTTTCATAGTGTAACGGGAAGTATCATAACTGAGCTCTGCCATTTCTCTGGCTCGGTACTCCACAGTTTGACCTGAAGGCAGTTCATCAGAAGAATGGTCACTTGTGAAGAGCAAATGGATGCGGTTGCTGTCATGAGTTGTGGCCAGGGTAATAATTTGGGGATTTTCATTGTAGTTTGTTTTTTATTTCAATTTGAGTTTTATTTTCTAAATTGAGTGAGTTTAAATTTGTTTTTGCAGCAGGGTTGTTAATGTTCATTATTTTATAGTTTTTGAAAAATGCTTAGTTTTTGTTTTGTTTATCTTATTTTTAGTGTTCGTTATATTTTCATAATATTTTTATAAATGGAAAAATTAAAAAAAAAAGTCACCAACTCTTGTGTTATAAAGTAAACTCCAATTCCCAAATGGCTGTTGAAATAAATTTAAAAATAACCACAAAAGCTCATGTGTGATATGAATATATGAATTGACAAAGACGAAAACACATTTTTGCTGTAATTAAAGTAAGCTTTACTTTTATCAAGACAACATGGTTTCATGAACATAAAATGTAGATTCAGTCACCGGTATTTGTCATTTTTTTTTTTCAGACACTCATTTTCATTTTATATCATCAAGAAAAATATATTTTTTTCAAGTTTAGCTTGAGGGATTTTGTTAGTTTTCATACAATACAATACAATACCACCAGATTTATATAGCACTTTCACAACAGCAGCAGCTGTAACAAAGTGCTAAACATGAATCGTTAACATTAACAACTTCAGTCGTCGCATAGAACAATGACGGTGGAGTTCAGGAGCAATGTTTGAATTTTCAATAGATTAAAGTCTTGAATGAGTCGCAAAAAAAGCAGAAAGTGTAATACATCATAGACAGTTTCTATCACTACATCATCATAAATATCTAAACTGTTTTTCTAAATCCACTGGAACTGTAACATGCATGCAAATCTGCAGTCTGATTTTAGGGTTATGTCATCACAACATCGAACCACTGAACCTGTTTTTATTGCTTATCCTGGAACTGGATCCTGATTCAGCTGACTATGACACTGATGGACTACACCCTGGGCTGCTCACAGGACACACAGAAACAGACAACTATTCACGCTCACAATCACGCCAGTGGTCACACTGGCTGAAATCGTCAGGCCAGGGTGGGAGTGTGAGGCCTCCCCCTCTTGAGACGCACTCCAGCTTCTCCGAGGGGACCACCCAGGCATTGGTGAGCGGGATGAGCAAAATAAGCCTCTCATGTGTACGCTGAACAAGTTGGCTCACTAATCTTGGTCATTCTCCTTTCAATCATGAACCACTGACAGGTTCGGTCATGGGATATTGCTCATTCCTCATGTGTCCACCCACATTTGTTCCAGCTTGCCATTCTTTTATAGTAATAGTCTCCACCCACCGTCCTTGACATCGTTGTCCTCCCCCGCTGTGTTTGTACCATCGGTAAATTTGTATACCAGGGAAATTTGATTTGTCACAGAGGTGCCTTGCAATTATTCATTACTGCAACATTTTCTCAGTAAGAAGGGGGTGAGTTCCTCAGCTTCCCTCCAGGGAATCTTTCATTTCATGCAAACTGTCAATCTGCTTTATGACTTGAGGTTTGTCAGACGATCGTCAGCCCCCATAGCGTTTCAAATTGTCTTGCGCTGCTTGGCTCCAACCTTCCCGTGCGGAGTTTACATGTTCTCTCCCGTGCCGGCGTAGGTTTTCTCTGGGTACATAGAGTTTCCTCCCACATACCATTAACATGCATGGAAGATTAATTTAACACTCCAAATTGCCCCTAGGTGTGAGTGTGAATGTTTTCATTTGTCTATGTGTGCCCTGCGATTGGCTGGCAACCAGTTCAGGGTGTACCCCGCCTACTTCCCAAGACAGCTGGGATGGGCTCCAGCACACCCGCAACCCTCGTGAGGATAACTGGATCAGATGACGGATGGATGTGTGTGTATATACTGTGTGTGTGTGTGTGTGTGTGTGTGTGTGTGTGTGTGTTTATATATATATGGACCACTGGGCCACCATCTCTCTCTCTCTCGCTCTCTCTCTCTCTCTCTATATATATTCATATAAAATTCCTAGTCTCACCCCTCGAGTGGTGTCCATTCCAAATTCAGCTCGGGTCCTCTACCAGAGGCCAGGAAGCTTGAGGGTTCTGCGCAGTATCCTTGCTGTTCCCAGCACTGCGCTTTTCTGGACTGAGATTTCCCATGTTGTTCCCGGGATCTGTTGCAACCACTCATCTAGTTTGGGGGTCACTGCCCCGAGTGCTCCGACCACCACAGGCAGTACTGTCACCTTCACCTTCCAGGCTCTCTCCAGCTCCTCTACATCCGGTTGGTTCGCCATTACCATCTTGTCAGTCTGGATCTGGAAGTCCCACAGGATCTTCGCTCTGACATTCTCCACCACCTTCGGAGGTGTTTCCCATTTTGACCTTGGGGTTTCCAGTCCATATTCCGCACAGATGTTTCGGTAGACTATGCCAGCCACCTGGTTATGGCGTTCCATGGAGGCTTTCCCTGCCAGCATCTTACACCCTGCAGTTATGTGTTGGATCGTCTCAGGTGCCTCTTTGCACAACCTACACCTTGGGTCTTGTCTGGTGTGGTATATCTGGGCCTCTATGGCTCTGGTTCTCAGGGCCTGCTCCTGTGCAGCCAGGATGAGTGCCTCTGTGCTGTCCTTCAGGCCAGCCCTCTCTAGCCACTGATAGGATTTCTTGAGATCAGCCACTTCAGTTATGGTCCGGTGGCACATCCCGTGTCGGGGCTTGTCCTCCCATGATGGTCCCTCTTCCAGCACCTCATCCTCTGTTCCCCATTGTCTGAGACATTCTCTGAGTACGTCTCTCAAAATTGCCCCTAGGTGTGAGTGTGAGCATGGATGGTTGTTCGTCTGTGTGCCCTGTGATTGGCTGCCAACTGATTCAGGATGTCCCCTGCCTACTGCCCAAAGATGGCTGGGATTGGCTCCAGCACGCCCCGCGACACTTGTGAGGATGAAGCGGTTCAGAAAAATTGACTTGCTATGAGAACCACAAGTTTACCAGTTGGGCTGAAAGACAAAACAAATGCAATTTCAACTTGGGTTCCAACACTGGGCTCAACTATCTGTGTAAAAGTCCGTTTTCTGTCCTCTTCTGTCAACAATTACCATGGACATAAGTAACATTTTGATGTTGACACATTATTGTTTTCATTTACACTTATTTATAGTGAAGAAGCAATATGCTCATATTTTTATCTCAAATATTGAAAATTTCATCCACACTAATAATAATAATGTCACTGAGTGTATGGTCGTAGAAATGTATCCAAAACAAGCTTCACACCTCAACCTCCACCCCACCTCCAAACCACTCAGCCAACCCAAAGACCCACATACCCCCACCCCACCCTACAGGTCTTGTCAGCATTCACTTCCTTTAAGTAAAATTGAAGTCATGAAGTAAATTTAAAAAATGCAATGAATATAATTTCCATGCCATCACAGCACATATATTCATCTACAAGGATTGCCTCAGCAACTTGCCTGGGTCTCAAAGAACAATGAATTATCAGGTCCTACTTTGCATGCAAATAACTACTTGGTTTGCACAACAAAAATGGTTTCGCGCCGGAATTTAATTTGTGTGACCAAACAACCCAAATTCGTTTCATGTCTCTTTGAGCTTGTTATAATCTGTCTGTCACAGCCGGGCACTCATGCCAACATGTATAAGGCTGTGTTGATGACTCACTCATTGCGAGATTGTTTTGATAAGGGTTTGTGGAAAATTCTTTCAACCCTGGATCTTCCGTTCCCAACCCGGTCGGCCCCTGATCTTCCTGCCACACTTTTTCCAGCCAGCCTACTGCCCCGTCCATGAGTTCTGCCTTATCATGCTTTCCTGTCCCCGCCAACAAAGCATGCGTGTCCCTATTCTGTTAATTGTGAATTATGGAATAAAGAGACAGGGAAGTGTGAGTTTCACTTGTCCCGCTTCCTGTTAATTATGGAGCATGACATGACTTGGCCCTCAACTACTTTCCCAATCTTCTCAGACTTTCTGTCTGTACTTTGAAGGTAACTGATGTGTATCTGAACTGCGCCGTTGTGTGACTACCCACTCATTTGTCAGTGGACTGTCCACAGTTCATAGATAACAAAGGTGCTTTTTTTTTTCAAAGTTTCCGGTGTTTTGGCATACTGCTCTTTGTATTTTTTCACATCACACACGCCTGTGACGATGGGTGGCACAGTGCTAAGCAAGGTTATTGCAGGTTATTCCACATTTAATTTCAAAAGCTGTCTAAACTGAAACTGAACCCATGCAGTCACCGCATCCAATAGTGCATTACAGTGCTTTCTGAGACTATTGAAGGTATGTTATTCATCGTGTCATGAAGAAAATCGGATCTGTCATGGACAACTGAGGTATCCGTGTCTCTCTTCCTCAAGAAAGTGGTTTGCTCTTTCAAATTGCCAGGGGGTGATAAAATATTTGTAATATTCATCCGTCATTATGTCTGTGTTCCCATTTTTCTTTCAGATGGGAAATGCCTCCGAAACGTATCTGTTTGTGTCCAGAATATCAAAAGAAAATGACTTCCTCATGGGGACACTGTATACAATTTTTGGTAAGGCTTTTGTTCTTTTTCTTTTCTTTTTTTGATACTGTGAATGAGTGTCAGGGCCACAATGAAAAAAGGAAATTCCTCTGAACTGCTGCACTCTTTCTACTTTTCTAATCAATTCAGAATGAAGATGAAAAAAAAAAGTATTTTACAAGAACAAATGTAATCTTATGCAAATAGAGTCATAAGATAAGGAACCGATGTACACAATTAAAAGAATAAATATGACGCTTTTAAGAATATCTTGACAAGTTAAACTGAAGTAAAAGTTTTGCAATGGTTAATTCATGTTGTCACACATGAACAACATGAATCTGACTGTGCAAACGCTGCTCCAGATCAACTTGCAGTGGCCCCTTCTGGAATGTGCAAAATGTGCTGGCACACCGGGCAGTATTTCTTGAGATACAGCAACGCACACCCCAAAAAAGCAACATGAAATGGTTTTCTGTTGGCACCATGACATTTTGTAGCCCCTTGTGCAGACAATACAAGGGGAGCGCAAGGATTTTGTGAATAAACGTTGAGGTGAGAGGTGATTGGTGTCAAGGTACAGTACATCTTTGATGTTCAAAGACCAGCACTATTTGGGGGAGGAGCTAGTGTTGGCTATTTGGCAGAATGTGAAAAAGTGTTACAGCCGCACGTGTGGGATCTTGCTTTGCTGAGTAGCAGGTTAGCCACTGACGGAAGTCTTGTTATTGCTTAACAATCAATGATTGGATGGGACAATCTCATTTCTTTATTTGCATCTTCCTATCTCTTTACTGCTGTGTTTATGTTAGCTCTTCCCACCAGAGGAGAATGAAATGAAAATGACAGACAAGCGAGGTGGGAGTAGGAAAAAATGCTTGCAGAAAATAATGATTGTTCCCCGATGATGTCATTTCATGGAGACAGCAACTGAAGATGACATCACGTCATCGCCATGCGTCGCTAACCAACCTCTGTGTTTGTATTAAACAACACCTTTCCACTTCATGCTTGATGGTTTCAAGTGAATTCAAGTCAAATGTCTTCAACACTGTTGCCCCTAGCAACTTTGCCAAAGCTGAAAGGATCGTTAGTGGTCTTGTCCAGCACACCAGCCGCCCCCGACACCCTCACTCACAGCGCACATTTGAAATGACTTGTGAATAAGTATACCAGTGTTTTTTCTTTTTTTTCTTACTGCGCTGAATGCAAAAACAGAACCATTGAAATGTTTTTATTCTTTTTGTTTGCCAAATTAGGTGGTTGGTTAGGCAGGGTTGGTGCAGGGTCATGAAACTTCCCAGCCAATGTGTTCTAAACAGAATAAAGCTCTCCTGGCCACATTTAAGAGTAGTCAGCCGTGAAATCACGTTTATGTTTTGCCGCCGTCTTGTTATGTGCGTCGTTCATACGTGCGCATGGCAGAGACACTGTAGCCCAAATAAAACATATTAAAACTTCAGGGAAGAATATTATGATGTATTTTTTTTCGGTTTATAGCACGTCTCATACGGCTATGTAACGTAAAACTTGCTGTTATTCACATTGTGAGTTTTTTTTTTAAAGCATTATGCTTACATATTACATTTTGTCGACAAATTCATATACAATATATTTTTTTCACTGTGGCTCTAATCATTTTCCATAGAAAACAGTTGAGCTGCAGGAGAATGAAGATCAAATACTGTATTGTATAACTCTGCCTGGCAGGTGTGCTCTCCGTACTGGGAAACGGGATCCTGCTGTTCGTGGCTTATAGAAAAAAGTCCTCCTTGAAGCCAGCAGAGTACTTTGTCGTCAACTTGGCCATCAGTGACCTGATGATGACCATCTCCCTCTTCCCTATTGCTGTGGCATCAGCCTACACTCATCGGTAAGACTGTTCATCATCGGTAACTGTTTCACATCACTAGGTCATATTCAGCTGTCAAAGCCGACTTTTTGTGAATTGGAAGAATATGTCAACTTACCGGAGCAAGAAAGCTTTCAATAATCAGACAGTTATTCGGATTTTTGACTTTCTAACTGAGCATGATAAAACAAATGGCAATGGGAAATGGATATGTTCACATCGAAACCATATTAACTAATGTATGGAAGGACAAAACAAGGGTGGCTTCAAATGTTTGAAGCAGGAAATCGTATTTAAGTGAATGTGATCTCCTAGTGATTTCTCATTTTGCTAAAATGCTGAGAAAACACCTTTACAAAACCTTCCACTCATTTAGTTAATGTTGCAATGTCTTTGTTTTTTTTTTTTTGTTAACTATAGGGCTGCGCACGAATCGATCGTGACTGGAAGTGATGAGGGAATTGGCCATTAAAAACGCCAATGAGTATTCCCAGACTAGAGTCACATTATACACACGCATGCACGCGCGAGGTTGAACTAAGTGTCTGAAAGTAAAGGTTTATGCAGCGTTGCCGTTAGCGGGGATGTACACAAGACAGGTTTTCAACAAAAGTCAATTTGAGGCCTTTTGGACAACATTCAGTGGAGATAAAGCACGATAAAAGTGCATTGCATTGACTTTGAGGATAAAATCGGATGTTTCATGTTTTGGCAACCCCGACCAACCCCTACTGCTAAGACTCCTTTCATCTTTTTCTTTCTCCACACCCAGATGGCTGTATAATAAAATCACCTGCATCGTTTACGCTTTCTGTGGCGTTTTGTTTGGCCTGTGCAGTCTGACGAACCTAACGGTGCTTTCCTCTGTCTGCTGGCTCAAGGTCTGCTGCCCAAATTATGGTAAGGTGACTCGACACATTTTTGTTTTAAAGCATTTTTTTTTTTAAAGATGATTCCAATATTTGTCAGAATAAAATTCACATAACTGATTAATCAGCCGAATAATAAATAATTTCTTGTAAAGGGTTGATGAATGAAAAAAACTTTATAGATGTGAATAAAAGATCTTTTTTTGGTTCATTACCACTTACAAGAAATGAATTACCGGCAGAACATTTGATTGTTTCACAATATTTTGTCCTTTTTGTTTGTTTAATATTTATTTGTTGTCCTAGTTGTTTAACTAAACAACATATCGAAAAATCAACAAAGAAGCTGCATTTTTTTTTTGTTGTTGAGGAGGTGTGGGCGTGGGGATGAATGTTGTTGGATTTTGTGATATGTTACTGTGCTGAAAAAAAAAACAATCAGTAAAAAAAAGTGTGTGTGTGTGTGTGTGTGTGTGTATATATATACCTGTGTATGTATATATATATATATATACTGTTTTCAGCCAATTTTTAAAGTGCTAATATGCAGAAGTAGCCATGTCAGTGTCAGTCATCCTTCCGACAATATTTTAAGCCTCACCAGGTCGTCCATTGTCCTTGGCGTCAAGAACATACTTACTATAACATATATAGGTGCTGCAGAAGCAATAATATTGTTTTTATTTCACCAGTCACCATGCTCTGTGTGTGTCTGTTGTTGTTGTTGTTTTTTTTTTTTTTTTGCATGCATGTCACATAGTAAGTACATTCCCGGTGCCGATTGGCTATTGCCGTTGCCATTGTTGTTGTTGTCGAGCACGAAAACCCGGGGCTTTATTGTCTCAGAGGGCAGGGTGGGCTCCCTCGCCGCCAATGGCGGCGGCCCTCGTCGCCTGCCCGAGTCCACTGGCCCTCGAGACTCGGGCGTGTTAAGGTTGAGAACACGTTTGGAACTCCGAAGAGCACACCCGCAGCAGGTCCTGTCTCCGGGCCTGCAAGCAGATCTGTTCTCGAGTCGAGCCGGCTGTTGCCGTGGCTGACAGATGGCCTGAAATAATGACGAAAGGATGACTGACGGACTGACGTGACCACACGTGCTAATATCGGCGATTAAATCAGCCAACACGTTAATCTGTCGGACCCTTGTTACAGATTCCAAAAAGATCAATTCACAACATCTATTCATTATATTGACGGAGCCTGAAGTAGGGTTCGTCAGTCAGGTGCCATAGTTGACAAATCTTTCTGGCATAGTATGGAAGTCAGGGAAAGTGCCTCTGTATTGGCAATAGTAGGTGATTGCTCCATTTTAAAACGTGGGAAGTGCATGAGTATGGTATTTTCCACCAAGTTTCTCCATATTTACTCAATTACATTTACAATTTGGGACAAATTGTATTTGTCCGAGTAGTTGCTTCAAACGAGACAACATACTTTTTTACTTTTAATTGTATTACTAGTATTTTTGTTAAGATCCATTACATTGAGCTACATTCCACTCCTTCGGTATTTTTATCTATAACTGCTTCTGTAGTTTATTTGTTTTGTTTTTCTCAGAGATATTTGCTGTCACATGACTCTGTTTCACTCATGCATCATATTCACGAGTGACATTTGACTCCGTTTCACCAATCAAATGGAGACAGACGCTTAAATGTGACCACAACACAGAAGTCACATTTTCCAAGTGACTTGTTTACGTGAAGTCTGAAAAAAAAAAGTCTCGATTCACTCCAGTGACTGTTGACATTTCAGCCGGCAAGCATACAAATGTCTGTCTCAGTCCGCGTTTGCAAAATGAATGCTCTGCAGAATACTGTAAGACCCAGAGGTCAGCCACAGCACACAAACACAAACTGCAGTTTGTAAGCGCTATTCCTCGCACGCTAAGCACTTAAGATAAAGCTGTAAGTTGGCAAAAGTCATCTTCTTTTGGACTAATGAAGCAGATGTCAGCTTTGCCGATAAATGTGTGTGAATCGACCTCTGGGAATTCAATGAAATCAAATTAGATTGTAAACAATTAGAATTATGGAGTTATGTAATTAATCATCTCTGCCTCATGAGCCATGGTGCGGTTTCATGCGCATTAAAAGAAAACATCTTTTGTCTAAATTTGCCATGATTTGATATTTTATTTTAAAAAGCAGTTCTTTTTTAAATGAATACTTACAGAATGAGAGTCCTGCTTTTGACTATTGCGAGAGTCTTATTATTCAAATGTAGCAGTACTCTTACCAGGGTACGCTTTTTTATTCGCAGACGCCTTCTCAATGTCGTGTGTATCGGAGAGGAGAGCATACAGGAGTTGTTAGTCCAACCTTGAAATTTAGGTTTTGCCCTGGCTGTGGAACATGGGACCAGCTCAACATTGTATTGGAAGAGGGGTGGAAGTTGGGCCATGTGCCTTTGGGCTTTTTACCATGCACCTTTTTGTCTAGTTGGGGATCCCCCTCCTCCAAAAAAAATAAAGTACCACACTATGGGCCATTAGCTTTCTGTGAAATCAAAGCAGGAGCTTGGTTTTGCGTTGCCTATGATTAATGAAATGGTTTGACAGTGGAACTTGATCACTGGTTTGATTAATACTGTACTGTAAATACAGCATATACTGTATATACAATATTAAGGATAACTTGTTTTTTGTCCCTTTCTATGTCCTGTCACCTACTTTTAAGGCGGACGAAATAGTAGTATTTGAGTAATTCATCCATTCATCCGCGATAGTGCTTTTCCTCACTCGGGAACCCACTGGAACCTATCCCAGCTGACCTGGGATGGGAGGCAGGGTACACTCTGGACTGGCGGCCAGTAGAGTGTGACAGGGTGGTGGATTTTCACTCCCGTCCCATCCCTCTTCCACAGAAAAAAATCCCACCCCGTCCCAGTCCCAGATGATAGTTAAAAAAAATAAAATCCTGTCCAAGAAAACGACTCCAACTCCCCTCCTGCTTCCGTGCAGAATGACTTCCATCCCTTTACCACTCCCATTTTGGAGATCCTCTCGGCTCCAGTGGATTTTTTTTATCCTGTATCGTCCCAATTGCATGATTCAAAGTGAAGTTGACTTCCACCCCTTGGGAAATGTCACTCTCTAGTCTCTCGAGCCAATCGCAGGACACACTCAATTTCATACCCAAGGAGAAGTAAGGTTTGAAGAAGCCAGAGTACCCAAAGACAATACATGCAAGCAGATGGAGGATATGCACCATACAGCCATATTCGAACCCCCAACCTCGGAACTGACCCAAATGTGTTCGCCACTCATCCAACGTGCCTCCCTTTTGAGTAACCCTCACCAGGTATTCCGTTTCTCTACTGTAGAGTATATGTTTGTTTGTTTGTTTGTTTGTTTATTGAACATATATAAAACATACAATAACAGATGACAAAATGCAAACAAAAATTATGAAAGGAAAATAAAAGTAAGTAATACAAACATCATCACAGTTATATGTTCAAAGGAGTAGGGAGAAGTATACAACTTATCTAGTCCTACTCCTTGTTGTGCAAGAATGTATATTGCTCATTTCCAATACCAAAGAAAAGGAAGAAATCTACATTTCATCAAATACTTTTACCCTTTTGTGTACTATACTTATCCGTTGATAAACCTTTCGGTTTGTATATATAGAATTGTTCTTTCTACTTTTTATATCAAATGACTCATATTCATTATATATACTGCATTTCTTGAATACATTCAATAAGTTGTTCAAAATCCAGAACAAGAACAAACCACTTATGACAGGCATGGCCAGCTCCGGGCCTGGAGGGTCACTGTTCTGCTTGGTTTTTCTCC